ACTGTAATGAAGGAATGAAGAAGAATGTGTTTTAAAATGATTTATCCATTGATTATTTTTAAATTATTATTTTAGATGGTGTTGAAAACCCAGAAGTTCCACAACACGAACCTCATATTAATATTTTTTGTTGGACCGTTATTTATTTACAATTCTTATTGATATTAATTAATTTTTATGTAATTTATTTAGATGAATTCCCTAGCGAGTACAACGGGGTGCTTGATCTACAAGGAGTAGAAGCAGTGGCTGACGAAAATAATGTTGACGTTGTCATGTTGTTAGACAATGACCCAGGTAATATAAACTAACTACCTAATAGAATATTATTATATATTTTTATAATTTTATCAATATGCATAGTAAGTTTATATTTATTAAATATATTTATTATTATTTATACATTCCTTAACTTCATACTTTATTGGATATACCAATGTTATAAGTATTAAAACTGTCTATTTAATTGTATATTAGTCTTATTCAGAATAGAATCCAATTTGAGTTAAATAATTGATTCTACCTTAATAAAATATTTATATTATATCAATTAAATATTGTCAATTGGTAATAAAAATAATACAAATTTTGTATATAGAAATTAATATTTAATTAAAAAATACTTTGAACCCATTTATTTTAAGTAGGTGTTATTCTAATGACTACTAATATTTGTTGTATCTAACCTAATCTTAAAATATTTTTCAATTTACTGAAGAAAATGCCACTGTTTATTTCTACTTTTTGTTTTATTTTTCAGTTAATGAGGAAGATTTTATCATTCCTGAAGACAGAGATCCAGATGTAATTTATATGATGGAACTTGATGCTAGGAGCAGACGGTTGGAATTGGAGAATATTCCATTTGTACCAGTACCAATTGTCCTTCCTACCTTAGAAAATCAAGATTCAAAATGTATTATATGCATAGAGGCCGACAGAACTCACGCATTCATTCCATGTGGCCATAATATTTTATGTGGTGATTGTGTCAATCTGTTGGAACCCAAACGTTGTCCTGCGTGTAGTGAACATTTCACTACCTCTCTTAGAATTTGGTAAAACATAATTATAAAATAAATACTTTGTTCATAATGACTGTTGTGTACTTATATACCTATGATATAAATTAACAACTATACATGTATAATACCTGTTGGACTCCTTACATTCTTGCTATATATATTGTATAAAGTATTATGTTGTGTATATATTTACATACTCGTTTATATTTATGTATACTGTGTATACATATACTTATATTATACTCCTAAGTCCTAATATTATTTTATATCCAAACAAAGTATTTACCTATTCGATAATTATAAAAAAAGTTCCGTTACAACATGTGTCTATTATTCCATTAAGTTACCTTGATGAATGATTAGGTATGTTTTAAAAAACAACATCAGACATGTATTTCAAAAAAAAATCCTAGACACTGCAAGTTCTGTAAAACACCATATTCTGGTAGATAATTCCTTCATGTTGGAGGGTGAAATACAGTATAAGAGATGTTCCCATTATTGTTTTTGAGAGTTTACTAAATTGCTAAGCCGTCAAGTACCAATAGGTGCCTAGTACTTTATATACCTATAATTAGTTTTTAATATGGTGAGTTTATAATTTATGGTGTGTATATAATATAGTAGTATACCCTATGTGGGTAAATGGG